ATAATATGTGTGTGATTGCTTTTCTGTTTGTTTGAACAGGTTTTAAAATTTATTTTAGGATCTTACAGGCTTACACCAGGTTAAAAAAAATATTTTCTAAATGGTCATGGTAAGATTGCTAATGCAAAAGTGCAACATTTTTTATAAATATTTATATAATCAGTCCAAAAATTTGTAAAATACTGGTTATGCTGAGGGGCGGCATGATGGCTCAGTGGTTAGTGGACCAGTTGGCATTTCTGTGTGCAGTTTGTATGTTCACCATGTGTTCACGTGGGTTTCCTCCGGGTGCTCCGGTTTCCCCCACAGTCCAAATTGCACTATACTGTAAGTGAATTGGATTAACTAAACTGGCCATAGTGTATAAATGTATGTGAGTATATGGGTTTTTCTTAGTACTGGGTTGCAGTTGAAAGGGCATCCGCTGCGTAAAACATATGCTGGAATAGTTGACGGTTCATTCTGCTGTGGTGACCTCTGATTAATCTGAGACTAAATTAAAGGAACATGAATGAATGAATGGTTTATGCTCATGTAGAGAAAAACAAACAAACAACAACAAAAAAAACACATTTTAGTATTTACTATATTAGTATTATATCAAATATTTAACAAACTGTTTGATTGACAGCAGATGTCTTTGAGAAAATCTGGCCAGAAAGAGCAAATATGATATGTAGATCAAGTGTATCTGTGAAAAGCTGTCTAAAATAAAAATTAAAAAAAATTCGCAGTTTTGTTTAATTTTGCATTGAAAAGCAGACAGAACTAATAAGTGGTCTTATGCTGTCATCTAGTGGCTAAAATGGTATCTGAAACACTAAATTAAGCATAACACACTGAAACAACTATTTTTGAGACCTTTTCTACTGTTTTAGCAAAACATAAGTTTTTCCATGCTTGTTTACAATCATATGACAGATAAGCACAACAGCTTGCATGACGATTGAGTTTTCCTTATCTGTTTACAAGCATGTAAGTTCATAAAGACACGCTCCTTATGAAAATGAGCTATCCAAAGTGGAAAGTTCAACTTTGTTTCAATAATTATTGATTTGGGCAGTCCAAAGATTCTTAGAACTCTGGTTTCATGGCGATTGACCAAAACAACAGGGATTAGTTTGCAAAAGTAGGTTTTGCACATATTGAAAAATCTTAAAAGAAGAGTTTGAGTAGCGGTGGTATTTTAATGTCAAAGTGTTCAGTATAAACAGGTCTATCACATAATGTGTTGTATTTGTGTATTTGTGAAAAGTGTGTGAATTTAGTACATTTACTGCCATTTTTTCGTTTAGCATGTTTCTAAGACATTGTAGCTGTTATAGCACTACCCATTGTCCGATCTCCACTAAATCTGCATGCTTGTTTACACTTATATATCAAGGGATCAAAATCCTGCCAAATGTATCATGGCGGCAGATTAAAAAATTAAATAAAATAAGAGTAAATCATAAATTTACATTGTTTGTAAAATTTTAACAAACAAAAGTAAAAATTAAATGCAGAATAAGAAACAACTTTGTTGCGTACAGAAAGATAATGAGCATCAGTCAAAAAATTAAAATGCATTTAGAATTACATTGCACAAAACTGAAACCTGAAATTAAAGTTTTTCTAATTGCAAACAAAATCAGTTTTTCCACTCATACCAATGTGTTGTGTACTTTATACAATCTTTTCCCCTTCACCCTTGTTCCCTCATTATGTGTTTGTGTTTCCAAAATATGAAATTTGAGTTTCATTTAAATCACAGGTGGGCGTCAGAGTCATTGTTAGTCCACTATTCGATTGGCAGTTGCTGCTCTAGCCAATCAGACGAAGAGGGATTTGAAGACACTCCAATTGTGGCAATTAATAAAAAACTGGGAAAAGCAGGCCTATCATATGATATGTTTTTGTGTGCCTTTGTGTGCCTAAACATTATTTAATACACAGCCGATTAAACACTAAAACACATAAAATCACCCCCCAAGTGGCCATTTTCTTTTAAAATATTTTTTTCTTTTTACTTATTAACATACAATGGCAATGACATAACATTAAATTGACATCAAAATAAATACAATATAAAAAAAAGAAAAAAAAGACAATTATCTTTTTAAATTCTTACAGACCTCTAAGAGCATGCATCATACATGCCTACAAAACACTAAGTTTTGTTTTCCAACCGGCTATGGCTAACCCTGTTTAATTGGCATTTTCATGTTTTTATAAACTTTATTGCGCCACCATGTGGCCAAAGCCCACAGGTTTGTACCATGTGTATCACGTTTGGTGATGATAATTTATTTCGTTCAAAAGTTATACAGTAGCAAAAGTTAGCTTTTGGCTAAAGTTAGCATGTAAATTTTTGTGTAGGCCTACTGTTTCATGCGAAAATCTAAATTATTGTAATTATTATTTGAAAAAATTCAATAATAATTGATATTTAGTGTCCAGAGAATAGTTCGGCACTGGTTTGGTTCTGATCCTGCAAAAAGCCTAGAACTCATTTGCTAAAGGAGATTTCAGACATAGCTTGATTAAGTAGAAAAATGGGGCGTCATAGAAAAAATCTGTGCATGTACACTTTTGTTTTTCGAATGACCCAAAGAACACAACAATGTAACATTTTTTAATCTACAGTATGACAAACTTTATATGAACTACAGCTATAAATGTCTGAAATTATGTGTTTTGGTGCTATAAAACCACCTATGCGCTGATTGGGATGAGTCGACCATCTGACCAAGTATCAATCTATGCCTTATAATTTGGTTTGCTTGTTCCACGTTACGGCTGAAAAAAAATCCTAACAAATACAGCAGGGTTTGAGGGCTTACTGGCTGGATTCCCTAAAAATGAGCTCAAGTCAAATACTAAGTGTAAGTCATGGTTGTAAACACTGGTACCCCACCAACAAGCATCATGAATATTTTTAGGCCTTGATGTATTTGTTTAGATGTAGCTCAGCTACTTCTGACATGCTAAAATTTCACTTTGACAAGCCAAAAACAGTTTTTAAAACGATGCTAACCCCTTCTACAATGTTCTTCTCCTGTTCATGGTCTGGCAGATATGGTATGTGGGTGCAAAATGTTTGGTCACATGACAATACAAGTACACAGTTGCCTAGATACAGGAGGTGGGTCACTTTACCCACTGGCTCGTCTTACCCTACTCTCCAATAGTAATGTTTCACAATGCTAGCACATGTTTCATGTTGCTTCCATAAATTACCCTGATACTATGCACATACCAGAGATGTTGATTTTGTTTGTTTACATTATCTGTCAAAACATGTCTCTCAACTGAGGTTAAATAGACATTTACAATGTCTTTAGGCTGTTTACAATTAAGAATGTTTGTAAAACAGACCATTAAAACCATTTACAACAAATTATATCCAGGCAAAATACTCTTTAAAATAGCTAACAGATGTACATGTCCTATCTGTGTTAGTAATTTGCTAGCATAAGTTAGCATGCTTCTTCTAACCTGTAAAATGGTAAGCACTTTAATATGTTTCTAGCAATGTTAGCATGTTTCTGGCAACGTTAGCATGTTGTAACATGATTTGTTAGCATGTCTTAGTTCCTAGGCTTCACTAGTGATAGATTATTAATTGAATATACAGACAGACACACACCCACATGACAAAATATTATAGTAATTTACTGTAAATACACTAACTTTGTGTTTTTGACATGTGGGATATAATAGGCTACTTTAAATTTTATAGCATTTACAACACTTTGCTATAGTGAACTTAAAAACTTTACTAAATACTGTAGTATACAGTATAGTATACAGTGTAGAATAGTAAGTTTTACTACAGTTATGTTGTATTGTAGAATAATTTATCATATGGTTATTTATATTCTATAGTATTTGGTAATTTGTTTATAATGCTATCCCTACTGAAAAACTAGCCTAGGCTGGTTGGCTAGTTTTAGAGGGGTTTCAGCCATTTCCCGCCTGGTCTTAGCTGGTCAGGCTGAGAAATTACCAGGTAAAACCAGCTTGACCAGCCTAGCCAGGCTGGCAGTCTAATCAAAACCAGCTATGTTCAGCTTAAACCAGGCTGGCCAAGCTGGTTTTAGCTGGTCATTTCCTAGCATGACCAGCTAAAACCAGGCTGGAAATGACTAGAAACCCCTTAAAAAACAGGCTGGTCAACCAGCTAAAACCAGACAACCAGCCTTGACTGTTAGTCAGCTAAATCCAGCCAACCAGCCTAGGCTGGCTTATGCTGTTTTTTTTTTCAGCAGGATGACTGTTATATTACCTAGAGCTTCAAATTGTATAAAACTATAAAATTACGTCATTAGATTAATTCATATGGTTCACTGTATCTAATATATATTACTATAGTCTTTTTCATGTGGCTAGATAGACAGACAGACAGACAGACAGACTGACTGACTGACAACCTCCCCACGTAAAAAATGGCCATTAAATTACAGAAATTTACTGTCAAATAACAGAGGTTCAATTACAGAAATTTACCAGAAATTTACATATAAGGAAATTTCTGTAATTTAATGTCCGTTATTTTATGGTAAATTTCTGTAATTTAACAGCTGTTATTTTACGTTTACCCCAGCTGCCGGAAATAAACCGTAAAATTACAGATTTTTTTTACAATGTAGATAGATAGATGGACAGACAGACAGACAGACAGACAGACAGACAGACAGACAGACAGACAGACAGACAGATGGATACCGATATGTGACTTTTTGTCATTTAATTTGACAAAATTGAATTCAATAAATATAAAGGCTGAATCAACGATACAGTTCATAAACATTTGTACTGACAGATCAATCATTAAGTAGTTTTCCCAGAACCATTAATTAATAAACATGTCTGTGTTCAAGAATTGGCTTGGAATAATATAAACAATGTAAACAAGTAGAGAGCAGGTTTCCTTTCTCTCATGACAGTAAAGGGTTAACGTCTTTCGTGCCCGTCCCACATGATAAACAGTGGTGGAGCCCCAGAGCCGAGGGCCACCGTTACACCACTAACCTCACAGGAGATCACATCTCTGGACACATCTCCACAAGTCTCTCTTTAAAACATCTACAATTGGACTGACAAATCTCTTCTTTAATCAAGGATCTGAGTTAATACAAAAAAAAATCTGATGAATGGAAGAAAATCATCTGTGATGGTAAAGAGCATTCAGTTGTCGTCCATGTTTTTTTTTTTTTGCTTTAGTAAGATTAAAGGAAATATATATATATATATATATATATATATATATATATATATATATATATATATATATTTTTTTTTTTTTTTTAAATCTCTGTAACTGCATGTATTTCAGGTATTCCAGAAGTTAAAATCTCAACAAAAACAAACAACGGGTCGGACTTCAACAGATGTGTGTCCGCTTGACACGGCAGCATCAGAAAGAAACAACATCTTTAACACAATGAAGAAGTAATGGCTGCAAACGTCTGCGCTTCTCTCCACATCGACGCGACTGCCATGTCCTGAAGAGAAACAGGAGCTCTCTGGAGAGCAGGAGTTCTGGAAAAGGTCAAAGGTCTTGGGTTAAGCATGGTGTCAGTGGAGGTCTCTGTGGCTTTAGTGCTGTGCTGTGTTTTGATGGGAGCCAGAGCTCTGGTGAGTCAAAACAACATACACTTTCACAACATGCACTTTGCAATGATGTCAAACAAAGGTTTTTACAGTAAAATTCATGTTAAAACATGTTTAAATGATCTTGTGTTTAAGAGAATATTTCTTTTTCATTTTGATGCTTGCTAAAATACTAAATATTTCATTATATTTTTTATTTGGATTTGCAGTTCATTTATTTTAAGGTTCCAAGTTGCAACTTATTGTGCTATTATATTGCATTCAGGTTTCTATAGAAATGACAACAACTTGTTAACATTGAACAGAAATGCTTGTTTGTACATTCAGATGTAGATTTTAACTACACTTTAAGAAATGCTGGGCTGTTGTAACTCAGCGTTGGCACAATTATGGACAAACTATGTGTGTATATATGCTGTACAGTGATCTTGCATTTTTTAAAAGGCTGTTTAATTAAAACGTATTATTATTATTATTAATTTTATTAAATTCAATTGTTGGGTGTCATTTAAATTTAACTGAAAAAAAATAATTATATTTTGACCCAACATCATGAGTTATGATTACCCAGCATTCTTTTAAAGTTTATATTTCAAAGACATTTTACTGTAAGTAGTCGTCAAATGATGCATAAAAATTAAATTAAGACCTGTTGAATGATAACAACATCATCATTAACAACAACAACAACATTCAGCTGATTGCATTTAAAATAAATGTAAAATAGCATATACATTTTCATTTAATGGTAAACATTCATTTAATTGTCTACATTCAGCTTGTACTTAAATGTATTATTTTAGTATACACTGTATTTTTTTTTCAAAAGAGATAATGTATAATGTTATTTTCTGCTTTCCACTTTTACCAGAATAATGGATCAATACCCGATAAAGTGACTATTGTTGTTTTGTAAAGATAGTGTGTGCAACTGCCAATTAAACACAATGCAGTCTCCTTAAATATGAACTCAAATAGTGATTCAGTAAAGCTAAAAGTGTATTTAACTGTTTATTTATTAAATAACCAGTGAATACATAAAGATTTCAATTTTTCAAGCGGTTGTAGAATCATTTGGGATTTTTCAACAAACATTTCAGAGAATGTATCTTAAAATAACCATTATTCATAGTTTGGAGAACATTTAGAAAATAATTTCCCCTTCATCAATAGCCTTTTGTGACATAGGTTTCCATGGATGAAACATGAACCACAGATGCCAAAAAAAAAAAAATTAATTAAATTAATTAATTAATTAATTAAAAATTAATTGAAATATTTATTATACATTAGTATACAAAGCACTTCCTATATATTCATTCATTCATTTTCAGCTTAGTCCCTTTATTAATCTGGGGTCGCCGCAGTGGAATGAACCGCCAACTTATCCAGCATATGTTTTATGCAACAGATGCCCTTCCAGTCACAACCCATCACTGATATATATATATATATATATATATATATATATATATATATATATATATATATATATATACGTAACTTAAACGCTAACTTTTCCTTATCGCTAACAAACAGTAATCTGATAGTGTTTGTGCTGCTTTGGCTTTTTCATGGATAATTATTGTGATCTACCGATTGCAACAGAAGAATAATGGGAAATCTTTGTAGACTGAAGGCATTTCATGTCATTCAGCCTTATAATCTTGAAATCTAAGCAAAATCACCCGTTCTGTCATAACTTTAGACATTACGCTAGAAAATCGTTCAAACACTAGCACTAAAGGGACATTTGTGAAGTACTGTAGCAACAGTTGCTGCTGTTTTGAAGTCAGCTGTAGATGTGAATGAATGGCGGAAGAAAGTAGTTCCTCTTACAAAAGGGTTTTGAGACTCTCCGTGTTGGATTTTCTTTTTTATATACACAATTATGCCGTCAAACTGTTGTATAAACGCAATATCACACTCATAGCAGTGCAGTGTGGCTATATATCATCACTGGTGGGACACAACGCACGTCTCCCACCGGTGCCGATGTACAGACACATCACATGCTACGAGTGTGATATTGCTCATATATATACAGTTGAAGTCAGAATTATTAGCCTCCCTGGTCCAATTTCTGTTTAACGTAGAGAAAATTTCTTCAACACATTTCTAAACATAATAGATTTAATAACTCATTTCTAATAACTGATTTATTTTATCTTTATCATGATGACTGTAAATAATATTTTACAAGATATTCTTTAAGACACTTCTATACAGCTCAAAGTGACATTTAAAGGCTTGACTAGATTAATTAGGTTAACTAGGCAGGTTAGGGTAATTAGGTAAGTTGTTGTATAACGGTGGTTTGTTCTGTAGACTATCAAAAAATATATAGCTTTAAGGGGCTAAAAATATTGACCTTTAAATGGTATTTTAAAAAAAATTAAAAACTGCTTTTACTCAAGCCGAAACAAAACAAATAAGACTTTCTCTATATATCATATATAACATTTTTATAATGGTGTCAATATTGTTAATTTCCATTCAAACCACTGTTATCTAATGAATTTTCTAAGCTGAAAACTGGTATCTTGCAAAATAACTAGTAAAATATCACTGTCATCATGGCAAAGTTATGTTAAAAATATGATTAAAAATGTTTTAAATACAACTGTTAAATGGGATATATTTAAAAAGCAAATAAAATTTCATGAGAGGGTTTATACGTTTATCTTCAACTCTATATTTATAGCTCTTCACTCTTCTCTGACTAAATTGCAAATAGATTTAACCTAAATCTACTTTTGAATCCATTTAATAATCAATCATGTTCAAGATCATTGACTGCTTGAACACAGATTATTATGTTCGGCTGATCAGGTTCATACAGTCGGATCGATGTCTCATCCTCTACACAAATAGATCTGTTTGGTTTGGGTGGTCCTGTGAGAAGAGCGCTGACAGGGCAGTTCGTGTGAGATTCCCCTGCCAAGAAATCACCCAGGCAAAAGGGAAATACCCTTTTCACCTTTCGCGCTTTTTTAGAGTTTGTTGTTGTTGTTTCGCAAGATATTAAGCTTAACAAATATCTTAATTTTTGTTTAAACTGTTGTCATTTAAACACGGCTATCAAGTCCAGTTCTTTAATACATTTGTTTCTGCAATTCTAAAATAAGATGCACATTGTTCAAAGATAAGCCCTGTATTTGAGGCTAATGAGGAAAGGAAAGTGTGTCTCTTTGTTTGTGCTGTCAGCTGCTGAAAGACTTACTGGCCAATGCATGCACACGCTCAATGAGGCAGAAAATGAGTCGGTCAGCGAGAGATCAACACTTCTTGATAAACGGGCACTTTAGAAATGGCATTATTATGACCCCGAAAGGTGCAATTAACCAAGTGCACAGCCTTGCCACTATATTTCACTTTGACTGGGGAAAGCAGCTGTTTGAACGTCCTTAAAGGGACAGTTCACTCAAATAAAAGAAAATTCTGTCATTATTTTTTACTTATCGTCTATGTTTCAAAATGGTTTGAGTTTCTTTTGTAAGACTCACTGAAGAATGATGGGGGAAAACAGCCATCAACTTCCATATTATTTGTATTGGTATAAGTATTACACAGGTAGCAAAGAATTCTGGTGTAGATCTGGCAAACATCTGGCACAGCAGGCATTCATCTGCCATACAGCATGTGGGCCAAAGATAGGGTTGGGTATCTTTTGGGGTTATTTCGATACCGGTGATAAATTGATGTTTTTAAAACACTACCGGTGCCAAAATGGTGCCTGAACTGATACTTTTCAGCAACAAAATGATGGTGGATGACTCTAGAAAAATCTTTTATTTGAAAAAATCTTTTAAAAAATCATTTTAATGGAACAATATAATTAAAGTTTAAAGTAAACATCAATTCATATTTTATATATTTAAATTACATTAATATATTTCCTTTGATCATTTGTTGGTTAGCTTGAATTTAGGATTTGCATTATGTAATTACATTAGCTTACTATTAACCTGTGGAAAGGCTTTCATCAAAATACTGAACTCCTTTTTTCTAGGGTTGCTATGTTTACATAGTTATCAGTAATCTAATGATTTGCCTAAACCTGAATAAGACAATGATATGATGAAGGGGTTTACATGAGTTGCTTTTTGAATGTTCCTTTCATGATTCCGTCTTACATGTTATAGTACATAGATCAATTAACGTCATTGGGTCACCACGCTAACCATGTTTCCTCCAGAGTTTCATGTAATTTCAGGTGTTTTATTCTTAGTTTTTCGACTTTTTGAATGTGAGCATTAAGTAAGGACTGCTGGAAGAGTGCTCTTTTAATGGAATTTGATACCGCACGCTGAATGGAAAGAAAAACAGTCTGCATTTTGCGACACAGGTGTCTGTGGTCCTTTAAGGTAATCAAAAATCACTGTTTACATGGTAGTCTAGAACAGAGGTTCTCAAAGTGGGGGTCGGGACCCCCCGAGGGGTCGCGGGACAATGAAGGGGGGTCGCCTGGTGATTTTCAAAAATCAATTAATTTTTATTAAACCTTAAGACTTACTGTATTTTATCAATAACCTACTAAAGAGAAAAAAATTGTCGTTAATAGTTACTATAAACTATATAGTTACTATAGTAGCTTATTACTAGTTCTATTGGATTGCAACTTCATTATATACATTATTACATTATAATAAAGACACAGCAATACTGTCAGATGCAGCAGATTGATTTTATAACACCAGGTTAAACTTTCTAGCCCATTTACAGCACTGACATACATAAAAAAAACAATGAATAGACTTGGGTCTATTGGTGTGTGTGTGCGTCATTGCATACAAGGTTTCTGTATTTATAACCACCACCTCAGAGAATATTGGGGGTCACGAGTCACTAGCATTGTCATTTTGGGGGTCGCGGGCTGAAAAGTTTGGGAACCCCTGTTCTAGAAACTTAATCAGAGTAGTGTCCTAATCATAAATCGGAGCATTGGTGTCCATGTACGTACACAATGAAAGTGCCAGATGATATCGCAAGCTTTGCATTCCTCTGCCTTTAAGTTTAAGAGT